CGAGAAGGGCGCGAGGTGGCAGGCGTGGACGGCAGTGGCAGCGCGTCAGAAGGAGGTGGGAGGGATGGCAGCGGCGGCAGCAATGGCATGGTGGAAGGAGGAGGGGGCAGCAGTGGCAGCATGGCGGGAGGAACAGGGCTGGGAGGAGATGGGGGCAGCAGTGGCGGCATGGAAGGAGAAGGGCCGGGCGGTGTAGACGTGGCGGCCCCTTCCGACGACGACGACTTGTAGGCGCTGGGTGTCGTGGGCTTCTGGGGGCGCGGAGGCGGCCGCTCCGCCCCGCCTCCGAGCCTCTCGCTTGCGGCCCGGGGGCCCTCGTCTCGCCCCCCTGAGACGGGGGCGCGGCGCCGCGGGCCTGAGGCAACCCCGAACACAAAATCGTATACTCGTGTGGCGGCCTTCTGCCGCCCTCCCTGGTACACGCACTTCCTGCCTTTGGACCCAAGTGCGTTTGCCAGCAATACCGTCTGCATGACAGCGCTGGGGCGTGTTGCGTGCAGGCCATAGTTGGCCCCTGGCCCCGCTGTAGTTGTTTTCACCTCTGGCCCTGTCGGACTTCGCCCCCCGGCCTCGCGGCTCTGTGACCGACGCAAAGATGGCTTGTCCTCGTCACTGTCCAGAACCGCACCCTAATTCACTCTGGCTTCTCCTGGGCCGCGACCCGGCCTTCCAGCGGGCAGCCTTATGCAGCTTAGGTTCTGTGCGGTCGCGACAGGGTCGGGTGTGGTCTTTCCTACTTGGCTCCTGGCGTTGCCAACAGGTCCACAGGTGTCTCAGGTGGCACACTTCGGATGACTGTTGGTCGTGCGTCGCGTCCGCTGGCGCCGCCTTAATTGTCCCGGTGTCACTCGCCATTGGCTGCGCTCGAGCACCCTGGGTACTTCTTCGGCATTGAGTGTGGTCCATCCTGCTCGGTTGCATTGCTATGTATTCACAGGCCTTGCTATGCTATGCGTGTACCTCGGCGCGCAGGGTTGCTCATGGGACGCAGGTTTACCTACCTTTGAGCGGTCTTTACTTGATCTGTCGGTGTGCGACGCTTCGGCTGGCGCCTCTTCAGATTCGCGCCATTCTGACAGCGCGTTTCAGTTTTGGCTAGTTCGGTGCTTCCTGGGTGTCCCTGGGTCACCTTGCAGCTCTGCCCTGGGTGCCGCTCTCCCTGGGGTCTGCCTCACCCTCGCCGCAGTTGCTGCTGCATCCGGCGCCGCCGCGCCCGCCTAGTCGCGCGAGCTAGCCGTCGGTAATTTGTTTTGCCTCCAGCCCTTCGGTCAATTTGTAGCGGCCGCAGCCCGACCGTTACCCGCCGCCGCTGGCGCTTCCGCCTGCGTTTTTTTTTTGTTTTTTTTTTTTTGTTTGTTGTTGTTTCTTTCTTTTTTGTTATACATATGTTTATATATATATATATATGTATGCATAAGTTTCTAATACAAAAAAAAACACCAACCAGTTCTGCTTGCTCGCCGCTCCTGTCCCTGGCCGCGGCATTTAGGCTTGCTTGACCCGTGTGACGGCGCGCGGCTCTCCCGCTTGCGCTCGCGGACAGAACACATCCCACCAGCCCATTCAAAACCGAAGCGCAAGCGAGTTGAGCCGATCATGACAGCGTAAGAGCAAAATGGGGGACAGTCGTTGTCATTCGCAGGAAGAGGAGCAGGCGGAGGAGGAGGAGGAGGAGGAGGAGGACTAGGACGAGGACGAGGAAGAGGACGAGCATGAGAAAGATGATGCGGATGATGATGATGATGATGATGATGATGATGATGATGATGATGATGATGATGATGATGATTATG